CCAAATGCTAAAGGCTAGTGCTGCTACAGAGGGGGGCTGTAACACTTGGGGGGGGGCTGGGCCTGCCCTCCGAAGAAAGCAGAGGGTAGAGGGGGGCTGATCCACCCTCCCCACTGGCCTTTCCAGCCATCCTGGAACAAGTCACAGCACACTGCCGTCTTTTTTACTTTTTCTCCTTTTGTTTCTTTAATTTGTTTCTTAAATTCTACGTAAGAGTGAAATCGTATGGTATTTGTCTTTCTCTGACTCATTTCACTCAGCACTATACTCTCTAGCTCCATCAGTGTTGTTGCAAACGGCAAGATTTCATTCTTTTTGATGGCTGAGTAATATTCCATGGTGTACCTATACCATATCTTCTCTATCCATTCATCTATCGATGGACACTTAGGCTGCTTCCATAATTTGGCTACTATAAACAATGCTACAATAAATACAGGGAAGCCTATATCCTTTTGAATTAGTGTTTTTATGTTCTTGGTAAATACCTAATAATGGGACTACTGGATTTAGGGTAGTTCTATTTTTATTTTTTTGTGAACCCTCCATACTGTTTTCCAGTGAGGCTGCCCCAGTTTGCATTCCCACCAACAGTGCATGAGGATTCCATATTCTCCACATCCTCACCAACACTTTTTGTTTGTGTTTTTGATTTTAGTCATTCTGACAGGTATAAGGTGATATCTCATTGTGGTTTTGATTTGTATTTCATTTCCCTGATAATGAGTGATGATGAGCATCTTTTCATGTGTCTGTTGGCCATCTGAACATCTTCTTTGGAAATATGTCTAATCATGTCTTCTGCCCATTTTTCAACTGGGCTATTTATTTTTTGTTGTTCAGTTGTATAACTTCTTTACATATTTTGGATTCTGACCTTTTATTGGATATGTGATTTGTAAATATCTTCCCCTATTCAGTAGATTATATTTTAGTTTTGTTGAGTGTTTCCTTCACTGTGCAGAGGCTGTTTATTTTGATGTAGTCCCAATAGTTTATTTTTGCTTTTATTTCCCTTGCCTCAGGAGACATATTTAGAGAAATGTTGCTATGGTTGATGTCAGAGAAATTACTGCCTGTCCTCTCTTCCAGGATTTTTATGGCTTCAGGTCTCACATTTAGGTCCTTAATCCATTTTGAGTTTATTTTTGTGTATGGTGTACAGAGTGGTCCAGTTTCATTCTTTTGCATGTAGCTGTCCAGTTTTGCCAGCTCTGTTTGTCAAAGAGACTATCTTTTTTTCCATTGCATATTCCTGCCTCTTTTGTGAAAGGAAAAGAGTTAATTTAATGACCTCTCAAAGATGTTTCAATTTATTAATTATTATCCTATGACAAACACATATACAAATAAAGTAATAAATATAAACTGCTTAAAACTATTATGCTCTGTGAAGTCAGTCAGAGAAAGACAAATGCCATATGACTTCATTCGTGGAATTCAAGAAAAAAGCATTTTTATTTTGAAGTGGAAATAATGAAGTTTGTTTAACTAATTCAGTCTCAAAATATGTAACACTATAGGTACAATGTCTAAGCAATATTAATGAAAATCAAATATAGTAGAGAAGATAAAATATTAAAGATTGGGTTCATTATATTTTTGTAATTTGATAAGGTTTTGTGGGTACATTCTAAAGCTGTAGTTGGCTGAGAACTTACTATGTGCCAGACTTCTTGCCATGTGTGTTTTATATGTATTATCATACAAAGCTTATTTTATTGTCTCCATTTTACATGTAGAAACTGAGGCTGTGGACATGATAAGTAGCCTGTTCAGATCTCCCAGCTAGCAGCTGGTTCCAAGCTGAGATTCCAAACTGAGTCTGAATTTGCACTCAAACCTGTTGAACCAAACTCTGAATTTACCCACTTAAGCCAAACTGCCTTTCCTCTTGGATTAAGTACAACATCATAGAATGATTACAGCGCAATAAAGTTTCTCCCCTGCTATGTCTGAAATAGCTGTCATAGCACCTAAGGAGATTCCCATTGTGTTTTTCTTATGGAAATGGATGAATGTGTACTCAGCTGCTTCTATTGAGGGGACCTAAGTTTTTCCAAGGTCGCTAGATAGGGAGGTTGAGACATAGGTGCTCTTAGGCACAAGTGGTGCCAGTGAACCGGGTACAGTTTTCTGGTAAGTAATTTAGCAATGTGGACCAGTGGCCTTAAGTATATCCTTATTATCTGACCTGGCAATTCCACATCTAAGGATTAACTGTAAGGATATAACTGGACAAGTGCTCAAGATTACAGGTGTTGGGTCAATGACAGCATGAGGAATCCTATGTGGATGGATTAGGGACAGCAATCTTGTTGAGAGGTGCTCTTTTTTTTTTTTTTTTTTTTTTTTTTTTAATATTTTGTTTATTTGGGAGAGAGAGCACAAGCAGGGGGAGCCGGTGGGCAGAAGGAGAAGGAGAAACAGACTCCGTAAGTAAGGAGCCCGATGCCGGACTTGATCCCAGGACCCTGGAATCATAACCTGAACTGAAGGCAGACGCTTAACCCACTGAGCCACCCAGGTGCCTGAAAGGCGGTCTTGAAGAGGCTCTTGCATGGTGCTTTACATAAAATTAAGCAAGCTTTATCATCAGCCAAAGGGAAAAATAGAATGTGTTGGTCCTTCCTTCTCTATTCATCTTCCTGGATTTGCCACAATTCAAAGATGTTTATAGCAGCATTGTTTAACGTAGTGAAAAATTGGGAACAACCTAAAATATTAACAGTAGGGAATTGGTTAAATTTTGAATCACCTAACCAGTGAAATATACATTGGTTTAAATAATGAAGGAAAGATGCCCATAATATCTTGTTAAAAAGCATAGTAAGATGATCTCATTTTGGTCAGAAACTAACAAACAGCTGTTTAGGATGAGAGTCTCAGTCATCGAGGGCTGAGAAATCACTATGGGGAATATATGAGTATCTCTCTATGTTATTTTGAGCTGAGATTAGGGAGACTTCAGAAATCCTGTGGTCTGTATTCTGTTTCTTAGAATCATGAATTTTCACATACTGTCTTAAAAAAATGATCTATTATTTCATTTGGGCCTGGTAAGAAGAACTCATTCCCACCTTTGGCTAAAAGTTCCTTTAAGCATGTATTTTCCTGAATAAGATGTATATTTCTCTTTAACCTCCCACCCTGGATAAATATCAGATGGCTAGGACCCTTCCTGGGTTCTAGAGTTTAAAATGGAAACTGGCTACCAGCAAGCCAAGTGTGGCCCTCAAATGTATTTTATTCAGCCTTTACAATTAAAAAAAATTATTTGAAGTATATTGCCAACGTTAAGAACTAGGAGATTTCACATAGAATATATTATCAGTTGGGCAAAAAATTAGAATATATGGCAGCATCTGGGTCCCATGCCCACCAGCATGGTCTGATTAGCTCCTGATCTTTTGGGTTTTGTCATGTGTCCTTTGTTTACCACAGTCCTTAACACTCCCTTTTGCCTTTCGTCCACTCCTCTTATGTTCCTTGCCTGGATTCTGTAGGCATTTGATTGGGGAACTCTTGTGTGCTAGACTGGGTTAGCTCATCTGTGTATCCTTAACCTTTATACCAGTAGTCTGAAATTGTTAACAGTTTTGCTGTATTTGCTTATATTCCTGGCATTTTTGGATAAATCAATCAATTAATCAAAACATCTCTGTACTTACTGAGGCTACTACATAATGTCAGAGGTTAATATTTACAAGACATGATTTATAACCTTGAGCAACGTATTCTCCACCTGTGTAGGAATGAGTGTATATACACGAAATGGGTAGCAAATAGTACCAAATGCTAAGTGTCTAGAGTGTCAGTTAAGGGGAGTGACATTGCTGTAGGATTCTTTTTGTGACAGTGGGTAGGATTGTGGATGCTGATCCCTGAAGATAAGGTTGGTCAGGGAAAGTTCTGAAGAAGACAGACATTAGGTTGTACTTGAGAGTTGGTAGGATCAGGGCGGGTCACAGACTATTGTGCACATGAATTGTGTAGGGGAACTTCAGCTTCTCCAACTCTACCCAGAGCTGAAGTGGGACCAAGAATATGTATCTTCACTGTACATTTCTGGGTGATTCTGGTATATGTGGGCCACACTATAAAAATAAGAGGGAGAAGATGACTCAAGCCGATAAGGTAAAATAAGCAGAGGTAAGAGTGTGAATGAGGAATTTAGAAGCTATAAAATTCAGTTGATTCAAGGCTTGTATGTGAGCCCTGGGAGATGATTAATGGAAAAATGGTCAGAAGAAAGGAATGCTCTAGAAACAACTTCTTTTCCCTTTTCTCACAAGAAAGAATGACATACTTTTTGTTTCTGAGGGAGAGAGAGATAGAGATAGAGTGTACACATGAGTGGAGATGGGGGAAGGGGCAGAGAGAGAGAGACCAACCCAGGCTTGATCTCACCACCCTGAGATCATGACCTGTGCAGAAATCAAGAGTCAGTTACGTAACAGACTGAGCCACCCAGGTGCCCTGACAGATACTTTCTTTATAAAAAGGGCGTGGGGGGGGGGAGGGGCGTGGGAAGAAAGCAGAAGGAGCCAGTTATCCTCAAAGAAAATATTCTCTGCTTGATTTCTTCATTTTGTCATGGAATAGTTGTATATGAGACAATACTAGGCTTGCTTTTTAAAGAAATTAATAATTTAATAGTTAATTAGCCAGCAATTAATCCTGGTACTATTGTTAAGGTGCTTAATCAGTTAAATTGGATTAACAGTTTAACAGTCTGCTGCATTACTGAGTAATTGCACACTCTTTATGGTTAAAAACAAAATAGATATTAATTCACACCACATTTTAGTGCAGGAGACCTTAAGCTGGAGGTCAGGGGTTTTGCCCCAGTACTTCATTAAAGGGCTAGTATATGGTTGGTTAGAACTCAATAAATACTTGCCAAACATCTTTAACTGAAATGTGCTTGATATTTGTAGTTCTTAATTTCCAGGTGGGCGGAAGTCTGATTAGATTAGTAGTTTTCTGCACCATCAAATTCCTTGGGGTGTCTTAAGTGTCACTTTCAGAAATAAGAGAGACCAAGAGAAGTGCCTACCTGCACCTCAAACAGCATCTTCTGTTTTTCTATTTTTGTTTCTTAATGGAGATTTTCTACATAAGATCTTATTTGAAAAACAACGGAAGACTTCCATTGTGAAACAAACAAAATAACATCATCAACATTAATAAGTTTGAAAGTCTCTGAAGTATTGGAGAAATGATTTGATTCAATGTCACATATATTTACAAGCTCCTGTGCACAGATTTAACACATAATACTCACGACTCATTGAGCATAAATGAATTCTAATGTTCCTCTAATCTGTTTCCATTTTTGAGCAGTCCTTGAACTTGTAGAGGATCTTTTTTTAATTTAATTTTATTTTTAAAATTATTTTTATTTTTTTTTACTTGTAGAGGATCTTATTAGACATAATACCTGCAGGCATTTCACGGGTCTTAATGGTGAAAAATGACTTGGTAGGTAGATAATAGGGTAGGGAGTGTGGGAGTAGGTAGGAGAGGAGGCAGTATAGCAGCCTCAGCAAATGTAGGGAAACAAGAACTTCAGGCTTTTTTTTTTTTTTTAAGATTTTATTTATTTGACAGGCACAGTGAGAGAGGGAACACAAGCAGAGGGGTTGGGAGAGGGAGAAGCAGATTCCCCGCCGAGCAGGGAGCCCGATGTGGGACTCTGTCCCAGGACCCTGGGATCATGACCTGAGCCAAGGGCAGATGCCTAATGACTGAGCCAGCCAGGCGCCCAAATTCAAGCTGTTTTGGAGGAGAAGCCCAGTAAGTAAAATGGGATGGAGGGAATATGGAGTGTGAGCATAGATGATGTGGTGTTAAATAAGAAAGAACAGGGAGTTTGGGGTATTGGGTTCTGAGTGCCACAATGAAGATCTCAAATGTTTTTGTCTATGGATAATGGGACAAAAATGGTACACTTTGTACATTCTTTGTAGGGGAGTGACTTGCACTAGATTTTGTTTATTTAAAAATTTACTGAGAGATAAGCAATATAGAAAGAACTGTGAATATTGAATGTGAGTAATTTTATGTGTTTGGACATAATGCAAACAGTTGTGATAACATCACTTTTGTTTTGGAAGAAAACCAAGTATGTCAGAGTGAAGGTTAGATGGTGGGCAAGAACTCGAAGCCGACTAATAGTAGTAAGTCATTATAAAGTTTTTGCAATGAGGTGAGGCACCAGGGTGGCTCAGTGGGTTAGGCGTCTGACTCTTGGTTTTGGCTCAGGTCATGATCTCATGGGTCATGACCTCATAGGTCATGGGATGAAACCCTGCATCAGGGTATGTGCTCAGCAGGGAGTCTGCCCCCATGTACGCAGGAGCTCTCAGCGTCTCTCTAAAATAAAATAAATCTTTAAAAAAATTTTGCAATGAGGATGGAAAAAGGAGACTAGAAGAACCTTGGCAGAGGTAGGTGATAGGGTGATACTGAGAGAAAATGACTCCAAGGTTTCTAGGCCATGCTGCTGAGAAAATGTTGGTCGATTAAAAGTAAGGTAACAGTATTGATCATTTACTTTGTACAAGACGGAACTCATTTACTCCTTACAACAACTGTCTGAGGTGGGTGCTATTATTACAGATGAGAACACTAAGGCCCTGAGATTAAATAAGTTGCCTGTGGTCATAGAAGGAACGTTCAGTCAGAACTCAGATAGGGTCAGGCAGGGCTCGAGGGCAGTGGTCCTCAATTGGAAGATGCCTGTGTTTGCAGAGAAAGAGTCTTGCAGTGGTCCTTCTACCTCAGGAGTTGAGAATGCAGAGTCTAGCAGTGAATGGCATGAAGCTTGGTTCCTGCTGCTGCCGCCGCCATTTTGTGCTCGACTTCTAAGAATCACTGGACACTACCTTTGAAATGTTGTACATGGCCTTCATAGCCCTTTTCTTTCCACCATGAAAAATCTCCCCAGTCTGAGAACTTTTGAAATGTGGCCATCCTCTGGCCTGAAGTAGAGGGACGGCCTTCCTTATTGCTTTGGCATTCGTGGGTCAGAAGCAACGTCAGTAACAAATTTCAGTCAGATGGGAATTGATTATAAAACATCTAATGAATCTGCTCAGTGGTGCCATGAACTGATGTCATATTTGGCTTCCAGGCGTTGCGTCCCGACTACAGGTTATATATGAAAAATACATAATACTCCTTGGAATGCTTATGGACTATTTTTTATAATGGATTGAATCAAACATTTTAATGGAGAAATAGTACCCAACACATAAATATATCACATTATTCAATTTCCAGAGATGCATCCTGTGTAGAAAGAATATTAACACTGAGTTTATCTTTTTTAAATCACAATTTTATTAGTGGAATGTGGAATACAAATCTTAGCAGCTGCTTTCTGGAAATTCACTTTCATATGATTGAAGGACAGTGAAACTTCTTTGAATGGTATGGATGGGCAAATATTCTTTAATTAATACTTGTATATCCCTAGGCAAAGTTTTGGGTAATGCTTTTTAAGGGTTCGATAATTAAATATTTGTAATGAGAAGCATTAGTCTCTTAAATAAATTAACTAACTACTAGATATTTTCATCATAAGAATGCTTACACACGCAAAGTAAGAAAACAGCAGAAATTTTACTTTGAATTTCCGAGGGGCTAGTTAAACAACTGAAAAAGCAAATACATATTTGCTTACTTACTGGAAAGGACCAAAGCTGCTTTTGATTCAGCTGCTTCTTGTCATCATTTTGCCTGTTAGCTGGATGCCATGCTTAGTAGGAATTTGCTTGTGGGAAGTTGTCAATCCTTAGTGGAAATAATAAAGTGGGGTACAGAGATAAAGAGATGTGCATCTGAAGAATATTGTTGGAGGGTTGGGGGCGTAATTGATGCACTGGTTAGAATGTAATTAGGTCCTTGAGCGGGCAGTGCAATTAAATATGCCAAGGAGGGCATAATTAGATGGGTGGCTGAATGGTGTAATTACATTCATAAGAGGGGGGCTGTAATTAGATGTGAGGCAGGGGGTGTATTTAGATGCCTAAGTTGAGGATATAATTAACATATGGGTGAGAAATTAAATTATGTGTGTGGGTGAAGCATAATTATGTGTGGGAGTGCATGTGGATATGTGGGTGAGGGTACATAGAAATGAATGGGTTGGGCTATAATTAGAAGTGCAAGTTCGTATTCTTATGGACAAAAACTTGAGATTTTCATCAATAAGTGCAAGCATATGTTTTGACATCATGAGTAATAGCAGCTGGCATATAGTGACAGCCTTTCAAGCCCCTTCAAGGGTTGCAAATCAAAATCTCTGCTTTTCTATTAAGACTTGAGACCCACATCTAACATTGATAGTGATTCTTCTTCTTAATAGTGGCACTTGGTAGTGTTCTGAATACTGAGTGGTTTGGTAATTTTTCTAGCTTTAAAACACAACTGCATAACATGGAAGACTTGCTCCCCCTTCCTATCAAAGGGAAGAGTTTGGAGGGAGTAATAGGGTGAAACAGACAGACAAAGAATTTTCCTTTGAATCGTGAAGTGTGAAAATAAAAGTCCAACTCTTTTAGCTAAAAGAGTATCAGCATAAATTACATGTGTAACAAAATAAAGAAAATTTAGCTTGATAGCTTCACTTATTTTTTTTTAGTTACAGAAAATATTTATTCAGAAATATTTATTGCATTCTCCCTTCCTTCCCCCACCCCCCAGTATGGACACATCCAAGCAGGAAATGTAGATTACAGGTGAAATAGGAACAGGAAGTGGTAGAAGGAGGCTAGAGAAAGAAGGATCTAGAACAAGATAGGTGCAAAAGTCATTTGGTGCATCTGGAAAATTACACTGAAGCAGTGAGAGTTATAATTGTCATTAACACTGAGTTTATCTTTTTTTTATCTGAGATATCCTATATTAAGTTTAAACCAATGGACTATTTTATCACCATCTTCAAAAGCAAGAGAATATTTTAAAATGCTACTTTGTTGCTTAGATAAAGTCTTGAAATTAAAGATATTTCATTGGTCATTAGTTTGCTTAATCTGACTCAGTCTGTTACGCAGTTCTTACAAGTCTGGGCACTGGAGAGCCTCCTCCTGTTTGGTCAGAGCTCAGATCATTTCTAGCCGAGCTCTACTATGGATAGAATTGTCAGCCTTAAAAATAAAGTAGCCAGTTATTTTACCAGCAAAATGAGTTTATTTGGGAATAGCAGAGCAATTGCAGTTTGGGACATGCAAACTATAATCAACCATAGACAAGTCTGGAGAGCAAAGGAGAGAGGTTTGCTTTTAGAGAGGAAAGGTAGGAGTTGAGAGGGGTGGTTTTAAATGAAAGTTCATTGGAGGAAAGCAAGAGTTCAGGGTTGTGGGGACTTCTTATTGTCTGGGCTGTTGCTGGGCTAGGACAAAATCTCTTTCCTCCTGCTAGTGTGGTAAAAGAAGCTTCCTCCTGTCCAGGTAGGTAAAGTAAGTTGCAAGTAGTGGTACAGGCTTGAGAACTCCTTCCTCAGGACGTCTCAACTCCAATTTGAATGAGGTTTTCCTTTACTCATTTTCACAGAATACCAGGGGGTCACCTCTGGGATTTTAAACTTTTTGGCTTCCTGATGCTCCCAAGAAGCCTAGATATAAGGTTAGTTATTTTTTATAACTTGGATGTAGGGACCTCACAGCCTGCCCCCGATATCTGGTTTTGCCCTGTGGTGGTTCTGTGGAACATTTTTTATTCTTCAATTTTTATTTCATGTCAATGCACGATGCTCATTTTTTACATTGTAGACATGCCTCAAAGACTTTTGTAAATTAATTTGTGTTAGAGGTGTTTTTACTAAAATGTTGTGTATTCCTGTAAAAATAGTTACTGCAGAATTGTTTAATCCATTCTCTATCTACTAAGTGGTTGGCATTTTTTCTTTCTCCATATATGTCCTCCCCTCCCCGCAAGACAAGCGCAGACTCCAAAAGGGTTAGTGATTGATGGTGTTTAACTCACTTCCTCATAGAGATAGTGTAATTTTTCATTCAAGACATCTAGTTACGTCTATGGGACAGAAGATGAGTGGGCACAGACTGTCCACATGATAGTAATTAAAGTCACTGGTCCTTAGTGCTTTGTTGTCTTGTGTGATTGCGCATGAAGAGGAAGAAGTGAGGCATCTTGTTTTGGAAATGATTTTGGTAAATAATGCTTCATTCACTTAATTGTAAAACCATTCTGGGATGCTCTAGAACTACTTACATAAGGCACAAAAATCATGGTTTAAATTTTTCAGATTTTAATAGCATTCTTCCAGAAGTCATATTGTAAGCCAGGAATAATTCCATCAGGTGGCATTTGTAATTTGCTTCTGAAAAAGTCTTCTAGCCTGTAATAAGTCTCTTCACCTTCATTTATGCCGTAAAACACTAAAGACCCTAATTTTGTCTTTTTTCTTTCAACTTTCCTAAGATTATTCAATAGACCAGAAATCTCAACTACTTTTTTCTTTCCTTCCTTCCTCCCTTCCTCCCTTCCTCCCTTCCTCCCTCCCTCCTTCCCTCCCTTCCTTCCTTCCTTCCTTTCATTTTTAGAGATTTTATTTATTTGACAGAGAGATAGCCAGAAAGGGAACACTAGCAGGGGGAGTGGGAGAGGGAGAAGCAGGCTTCCCGCTGCGCACAGAGCCTGATGCGGGGCTCAATCCCAGGACCCTGGGATCATAACCTGAGCTGAAGGCAGACACTTAAAGACTGAGCCACCCAGACTCCCCTTAACTACTTTTCTTATGCCTAAAAATGTGAGATCTCAGGTCTCAGGGTTACTTCCTCATAAAGATGTCCTATAACTATAGAGCACTCCATACTTTCCTATCATATTTGTTAGATTCTGTTTTTCCTGTTAGCATGTTAGGTCTATGAATGGGGTACATGTCCATTTTGTTCTCCAGCACATTCTTAGCATACACAGCATTTTCTGAACGATCAGAGATGCTCAACAAATAGTTGTTGAGTGAAAAGATAAGTTGGACCTCAGGCTATTTAAGGAGAGGCCCAGGCAATGTAGGCCATGGGCCATGTTAATAAGGATAAGGGATAACTCAAAAAACAAAATTGGCAGTGGTTTCATTCACTGGCTCTTATTTAGAGAAGGGTGGGGCTCATGTTTCTTCTTGCAGTTTGGAGATTAAATTATATATCCATTGTGACATTAAGAAAATTCCACTTTAGGTAAGGTACTGGCGAGAACAATGAGATGTTCAACAAAAATCTGATTAAATAATTAACATATTAAACAAATTGTTGATTATCTGCTCTGTGCTTACTTGGGATATAGAGTGTTGACCAAAAACAGATAGGGTCCTTACAATGATTCACACAAAAAATGTACATTTAAAAATTCATTAAATCCGTTGATTCATAGAAGTAGTTAATATATTCTCAAAGGCCAATGATAAAAAATATTTTCCCCAAGACCTAAATAATTCTTTGAAGTTGGAAGTATCTCACCCAAAGATAAACTACATATTATACTAGTCTAGCAATATACGGACACATTTTTTCTCTAGAGAATTGAATTTTTTAGGATACAGTAATGTACTAATACCATATATAGGACTTCAGAGTTTCTGATGATGTTCAATGGTTTACTTTATTTTAATTCTCATAATCATACTGGGAGACAGATGGGATAGTTATTATCATGCCTGACTTCCCATGGGGCACTGAGAGTTTGAGGGGATTGGCAATCCAGAATCTGAATTCCAGATGGTTTGTATAATATAGTCATTAAGAAGATTGCCATTAATAGATGTGACAGTGATAGGCAAAAAATTTGGACAAAGATCCATCAGGTGAATTAGTGGTCCAGCAATATTTTGAGCTCCTCCCTATGGTTGATCTGCCTAAGCCATTCTTTCATTTAGAGAATATTTGTTTTTGTTTTTTAATTGAAGTACAGTTGACACACAGTGTTACATTAGTTTCAGGTGCATAAAACAGTGATTTCACAAGTTTATCCATTATGCTATAAGCCTACCACATATGTAGCTACCATCTGTCTGTCCCTATATAATGCTATTACAATACCATATCAATATACAATACCAGTATAACCACTGTTATATTCCTTATTTTGTACCTTTTATTCTCATGACTTACTCATTCCATTATTGGGAGCCTATATCCCGATCCCCTTACCCATTTTGCTTATTCCCCCAGCTTCCTTCCTTCTGGCAAACATCAGTTTGTTCTCTGTATTTATGGATCTGTTTCTGCTTTCTGTTTGTTTGTTTATTCATTTGTTTTGTTTGTTTTAGATTCCACATATAAGTGAAATCATATGGTAATTGTCTTTCTCTGTCTAACGCATTTGCACTTAGCATAATACCCTCTAGGTCCATCCATGTCACAAAGGACAAGATCTTATTCTTTTTTTTTTATGGCTAAGTAATATTCTGTTGTGTATGTATGTGTGTGTGTCTGTGTGTGTGCACCATGACTTCTTTATCCATTCATATACTGATGGACATAGAGTGTATTTTTTAAGGTTAGCAGGAAGAGTTTTATGGTATACTATATTCTCAGAATCATTAGACATTTTCTGACAGGGATGCAAGGAGATACATTTGAAGAGAAAGAATGCAATGCCTTAATAAAAAAAGATACTCCTTGCCAAAATAATAATGTTCATGTGGAAACAGATGACCAAAAGTTCTGTCTAGGTACTGTACCCCAGAAGGAGAGCTTTGTGTTCACATATCACTGACCATTGCTAAGCTGAGATATTCTGTGTTTAAAATACCACTATGATAGTATTATCTCAATTAGTTAAAATTCCACAGTATTTTCTCGGTTAAGTTTTTCCTCTCTGTAAAGTTTTGATGAGCTGTTATTGTGCCCAGAACAGTGTGCATGTAGGCACTTGACAAATATTTATTTAAATGAAATTGCTTGTGTGAGGGCTAGCCATTGACCAAATGGAGAAGTAGCAAGAAAATATTAACAGCAAAAAAAGAAATGGCTCCCCCATCCTTGACCTTTAGTTCAAGAGCTTGTAAAAAAATTTTATAGTATATGAATATAATAGTTACATTTTATAATTGTTAAGGTAGAATTAGATAAATCACTGTTTTATCGTGTTTCCCCAAACCCATGGAATCTCAGTATTTTGTGGCTTGAACAAGTCAGTGAATTGTGCTAGAGGGAGGAAAGGGATGAAAGAAGAAGAGAAGGAAGAAAGAAGAAGGCAAGGAACATCATACCAGGCACTCAATGAGATGTATGTATATCAGCTCACATAATTTCATATAATCCTGTGATACTAGCCCTCTTTAGGGACAAGAAGTAGAACACTGAGGGGTTGGACAGCCTGTGCTATAGTCCCACAGTCCTACAACCTGGAAGTTAGGATGTAGGAGGCTCCTAGATTTTTTTTTTTTTTTTTTAAGATTTTGTTTATTTTAGAGAAAGAGTGAACGAGTGGAGGGAGGGGCAGAAGGAGAGGGAGAGGAAGGAAATCTCAAGCAGACTCCTTGCTGAGCGCCGAGCCCGACACTGGGCCTGATTCCACAACCTGGAGATCATGACCTGACCCAACATCAAGAGCCTGTTGCCCAACCGACTGAGCCACCCTGGTGCCCCTGGAGATACCTGGCTTTACGTTGCTGATGCTACTTCTGCCCTTTTCAGATATGCTGCTTCTGTGCCCAGATTTGTGCCAGGAAACCTGGGGTTGCCAGTCAACCTGGTTCAAGAACTCTCTCCCCCCCCCCTTTTTTTAAAGGTTTAAAAAACCTTAAAAAAGTGGGCGAGGGGCACAGGATGAGGGAGAGAATTCTCAAGTAGACTCTCTGTTGAGCATAGAGCCCAGTACAGGGCTCAGTCTAATGACCCTAAAATCATGACCTGAGCTGAGACCAAGAGTTGGAGGCTTAACCAACTGAGCCACCCAGGCACCCCTCAAGGACTCAAACAGCAGTGAGGGAGGGTTTAACTTGGCTTTTACAAGGGAAACTAATTATTATTACTATGAGTGTTATTATTTTATTACCTGGGGAGAGGCAGAGGGAGAGGGAGAATTCCAAGCAGGCAGAGGCCAGTGCAGGGCTTGATCTCACAACCCTGATACCATGACTTGAGCTGATATCAAGAGTCCTATGCTTAACTGACGGAGCCACGCAGGTGCCCCAAGGCAAACTAAATATTAGTTGAACATGAATGAACCCACACTTTTAAAATAAACTATGTAAAAATAGATATGCAAATAAACATGTATAACTCACTGAGCTCAGATCAGGCTTCTGTCTATGCTGTGAACCACATCTATCCTTGTTAAGGTTACCAGGGGATCTCCATGTTGCTAAATCCAGGGGGCAATTTTTATTTTTTACTTTACTTTATTTATTAATCTATTATTGCAAATCTATTGCATTTGCTGCAATTTTTCCCCTCCTTTTTTGAGAAACTCTCTCTCTCTCTCTCTTTTTTCTTTTTTTTTTTTTTAAACTTATCTTCCAGGACTCCACACTTTTTTCTGGCCACTCCTAAGTCTCCTTAGTGTTCTGACTTCTTGTTGGAATGTCCCAGGATTCACATCTTTTGACCTCTTCTCTTTTCCGTCAACACCCATTTACCATCAAGTCTCCTAACGTTAGTTACCTATTATATGCTGATCACTCCCAGCTCTCTCCAGGAAAGACCAGTTCCCTGGATGTATTCTCATATTTATTTGCCTCCTTGACACTGTCATTTAAATGCCTAAAGGAGATGTCACACATGACATATTTAAAATTGAACTCTAAACCATTTCCCCCAAAACCTGCTCCTTTGTAATCTATACCTCAGTAAATGGCAGGTCCATCTTTACAGCTATGTTAGCCAAAACCCTTGGCATCATTCTCAATACCTCTTTTTATTTTACTCTATTTCTATTACATCAGCAAATCCTGTCAACTTTTCCTTCAAAATATCTCCAGAATCTGCTCACTTCTCACCATCCCCACTACCATCGCCCTCGTCCAAGCCACCAGAATCTCTAGTCCCCTGTTACAGGAGACTCCTGACTGGTCGCGTTCTTTCTACCCATGACATCTTGTAGCCTGTTCACACAGAGGCAGAGTGGTTGTTCCAAAATATGGCATAATGTCAGTCCTTTCCTCATCCTACCTTGACTTGATGTACATCTCAGAACAAAACCCAAAGTCTTTATCATACCCTTCAGGGCGCTACAGACTTTATTCTCCAATCTCTCCACAAGTTAACTCTGATTTCCTCTTCTACGTCTCAGTCCCCTGCTTACTCATCTTCACACACAATGGGGTCTTTTGCTCTTCCTTTCCTACCCCAGGGATGTTCCTTCCTCAAGGCCAGCCAGAGGAGTTCCCCCCAGATGTCCATAATGTTCATCATCTCATGTTCAAGGATTTGCTCACATGTCTCCTTTGAGGTCCTCCCCAACCACCCTATTTGAATTGCAGTTCTTTAAAAGCCATTTCCTGATTGTCTCCTGCCAGTGATTTATTTCTCTCCACAGCCCATATTGCCATCTGACATACTATTCATTTCACCCGTTTGTCTTTACTCATGAGATTATAAGCTCCATAAGAACAGGGATAATTACTTATGTCCCTGTTACCCAGAACAGTGCCTGGAACGTAGTAGGCACTTAGTAAATACTTGTGGAATAAATGAATAACTAATTTGAGCATATAAACTTAAATATACATCTAACATATTATAGATCTAACCAATGTATTTCCTTTCTTTGCACTTTTTAAAAATATACAAATATATTTTCCTTTTTTAATTTAAATTCAATTAATTAATATATAATATATTATTTGTTTCAGGGGTACAGGTCTGTGATACATCAGTCTTATATAATACCCAGTGCTCATTGTAACACATACCCTCCCCAGTGTCCATCACCCTGTTCCCCCATCCCCTCACCCCCGTCCCCTCCAGCAACCCTCAGTTTGTTTCCTAAGATTAAGAATCTCTTATGGTTTGTCTCCATCTCTGGTTTCATCTTACTTCATTTCTTCCTCTCTTCCCCTATTATCCTCTGCCTTGTTTCAGTCGATCTAACCTATGTATTTCTAATGCTGACTTCAAACCCTCCTAACTAAGGAAAACGCCACATGCCACCCTGGATCTGTCTGGACGTGTCAGAGTGCTGGCCTTTGCCTGTCTGTCTCCTCTGTATCCCACTCTGGAGTTCACTGGACTGTTCTCTGTTGCAGTCATGCAGGGAATTCTTAATCGTCTCTTGGCAAATGCTTAGACTTTATGGTTTAAGTACTGTATCTTTATCAACTATATTTTCTTAGCACTCTTTTTCTTGTGCTGCCTTAAGTGCCGACCTCAGCTACTAGTTATCACACAGACTCTTGGAATTTTATTTTTCTGGTTTGATTACTTTGTGCCTATGTGAATTTCTTATAGTATATATTCATATATTCCATTTATTCTGCTAGTAAAATCCGTCTTGCTTCAAATTCATGCAGAATGGCCTACTTAATATCAGAATAGTTATTTTATGTGCCAGTTCTGTAGATGTAAGTTCTTCCCCCAAAGAACTGCCACCAGTAAGCATTGTTTCAGCAAGCAGGAGATTCTGTACCTGGTGGTTCTTGCTGACCCAGCTAAAAGACACTGAATGACGCATTTCACTTCCAGGGGCTATTGCTAGGTTTTGATAGTCAATCCCTGGTACTATAAATAGCACTTCAGGGAACAAACTCGGGTACACTGAACATTTTCTTTGCAGTCCAGCTCAATGTTTGCAGAAAGAAAGTCACATGCTGTCTGGTTTGCACAAGTCACTTGCCCGTTAGTGCCTCCCAGGTTCTAGATAGACCCACCCAGAGTGTACATTTTCTCATAAACACAGCATTTGCTTTCAGCATACTTTGTGCCTTTGTTTATACTGCTTCTCTGCCTGGCAATATCCTATTCATCCTTTAAGATTCATCTCAAGTGAGAAAGCGTTCCCTGAGCTGGCTTGCCAGAAATTTGCCCTTTTTCTCCTGTGTGGGATTCTCCACAGCACTTAGAGCATACATCTTCTACAACAATTTCAGCATTACGTTAGAGTTCTATGTTCACAGTCCCCCTACATCTCAAACTGTGAGTCCTGAGGCCTGTGACTTTTTGTAACTTTTTGTATTTACCCCTAACAGTTAGCATAGGAAACACTCAGCTACTGTTTGTTGAGTGAATTGCAGATTTTACGAATGAATGAAATTGCATTCAGATAGGGAGATAGAATTCATTTGAGCTTGTTCCCAGTTTAATGCCTTTAAAACTAATCCAATGTTTAGTATGGATTTTTTCTCTTTTCTCTAGTAGCCACTTTCTCCAATGTACGTGGTCAATTTGGTACAAAATATGTTATACTTAGATGCACTTCAGGGAGTTAATTTTTTAATTTGTATTTGTTTATTCATTTATTTATTTTTAGTGTCAAAGAAGCAGTCTAGTTTATTCCTTATAAACTTCTTGGCATCTTTCTTTCTCCATGCTCTTTTGGTCTGCCCAGTCTTCAGTCAAATTCCTCCAGGGGTCTGCTGTAAACAATGATTTTGTGAGTGGTTGTGTGTTCTCTGCAGTGAAAACCCGCCTTGTTTTCTGTTGCTAGGCAACCCCATTCCAGCTGCCCTTGAAGAAATGCGCGGTGGTGGGAAATGGTGGGATTCTGAAGAAGAGTGGCTGTGGCCGTCAAATAGATGAAGCAAATTTTGTCATGCGGTAAGAGAGAGCACCCACAGCATGGCCTCTGCCTTCTCTCCTTTCCCCCACCCCTTCCACAAGCCCTGGGGCCTTTCAAAGCTAGTCACTTGGGATTAATCAGTTATAACTGCTCTTTAGCTTCCCTTCAAGTTCAGATACAAGTGAATGCAGGAGAGGCCCAGGGAGCAAGGGAACATGCCCCAAGAAAGTACAAAGCCAAGGGCTTAGAGGTCGTGGGGAGACCCAAAAGTAGAAACACTTAGATTTTGCTTTAGACCATACAGTTGGGTGATAAAAACTTCAAAGATTGTCTCTAAATGAATGTTTTCATTTATTCATTTCTACTCTACACCCTTGTCATCTTTGTTTTTCACAAAAGCATTTGTGAGTAGCAAGTGGGATTTGAAGACGGGTCTGATCTGTGTATGGCTGGGACAGCTGGAAGGAATGAGGGGGCATAACTTTGGAGCAGTGAGGAAGCTTGGTTAAGGGACTGAGCGGAGTGGTGATGCATGTGTCCCTTGGAGGGGAACACAGGAGGCTTCTGCAGGGGTGTATAAAAACCTGCTAAGATGGATCCAGGGGTAGAGGCCTTCCACCTGTAGGGGCACCAGCCTGCACTGGTGGGTGATTTTGACCAGAAGTGAAGACAGCGAGTGATTGGACTGACATGGGTTTGGGATTGTCTGGGTGAGAGGGAGGGAGGAGGGGGAGTAACGACACGGAGGATCCTGGCTAGAGAGAGTGTGAGGTGACATGCCTTGAGGTTTGGGCTGGACAGGAAGTGGGTGCTGAGAGGCAAGAACAAGAGAGGAAGGGGCCCAAATGGGGCCCAAGGACAGGGTCATTCTGAGCCCACAGGCAGTGGCTGCTGGGAAAGAAGAGAGAAATGGAATGATAAGAACCAACGTCAAAGAGTGGCCCAGTGGAGTTTATGATTTCAGAACTCAGTATGTCTGGGGGCTGATCTGCTGTGACAGAAAAAGAAGACATTTGTAGCTGAAGAAGCATAGGAACTTTGAAGCTATGTTGTGGAGATTCTTTCAGATGGGCCCCAAAGCCTCATTAACATGGGGATGACAGAGATGCAGGTGGCAAAGGCTCCAGGACCAGGAAGACTAAGGACTGCAGCACCACAAAGGGAGGAAGGCTGAGCCTAGGAAGGGAGTCAGGGCTTGGGATTTGGATTTTGTGATCATTTTTAAGGATAAGTAGAGAATAGCCTAGAAGTGGTCAAAGGTGGCTAAGAGAACACTAAACCACCTGGGAGCTCTGAGTGCAGTGGGGTAAGGAGGCTGAAGACACTAGGTGAGAGTGTTTTGGGGGAAGCCGTGGACTTGGGGGAGAGCCAAGTTCCTGCTCAGAGAATGAGACTTGGGCTCCTTCAGCAGACTTTTTATCTTGCTTGTGAAGCCTGTAGCAGAGGGGGATGTCTTTCTATATCCATCTTTCCCTCATAGAAGTGCCCTGCCATAGTTTTTCCAGTATAGGAATGTGGTTTTCTCTCCATTGCAATTATTATTATTGCTGCAGTATATACAAAGAATAGGAAAATGTAGAAAATAAAAATGTGGTTCTCTTATGTCAGTACGACATCTATTTATTGAGCTACTACTAGGTATTGGCGTTAGCTGGGACGAGGAATGGTACTTGAACCATTTCTGTCTGTATGTTGTACCTGGAGTGCTCTGATAGAGGTAATTCAGAGACAGATGGTGAGGGGTCAGGGACATTCTAAGAAGTGATGTGTGGAGTGAACCATGTCTACATTTCACTCCGGGCACAGGAATAGTCTTTCTGAGGCTCTGAAGTGGGAAAGACACCAAGTGCTGCCACAGTACATTGAGATGAGCCTGGAAAGGTAGTTCAGCTATGGGAGGGGCCACCATCACCTGTAGAGTTGATGTAGATGAGAAGAGCAAAGGCCCTAGGACCAAATCCAGGCATCCACTCCAATATACTGGCATTAGGTGGAGGCTGAAGAGCCAACAGATAACACAGAGGGACAGAAGACAAGCTCTTGCCAAAACCAGTTCTGTGATCTACAGCATGTCGTTTTACCCTTGCTGGGGCTCAGCATGTGAGGGAGTAGGAGCAGACAGTTCCTCAGGCCTTTCCATTGTGGAAACTTCTATATAACTATATAATCCTAACAGCTCATGTAGTCTACTTTATATTTGCAGCTTGCTTTCAAGGATGTTTATTTGCTCTTTCCAAAAACTATGTAAGGAGCAAGGAGGAGTGGTTATTATACTTACAAATTCAAGGAATTTAAGTGATTTCAAAAGGTCTTAATATATTCAGTCTGGCGGGAGGCAGTACAATATATTTTTATATTATTCCTAAGTTTATATATCTATGTGTGTCACTATATTTAGGAAGGTACATGTTTTAAACTTAATATGTTGAAGACTAGGGCTAAGCATTTTTGAGGGGTTATCTATATTTATTTATTGCAAATAAACAAGACTAAGTTTGCATTATTTACAATCAACATTGCTCTATTCAAATTCAGAATTAACGAGTAAACATAAATGTTCACAGAATACTGAGAGAGGTGAAGATTGAAAATTCAAAGAACTAGAGTTATTTGTGCATGGACCATTGATTTAATTTCAAAAATAGCACCATTTTCTTTTTTTTTTAATTGAATTATAATCTACATGTAACATTTTATTAGTTTCAGGGGTATAACATCATGATTTGATATTTGTATACACTGAAATTA